GAGGGGAGCGGCCTGGCATCTAAACTCACTTGCTCTTCCTCCCAACATATTCTGTTCTGTTTACTCCACCCACCTATATTCTAACCTATCAGGGCCAAGCAGTTTCTTTATTAATTAACCAATGACCTTCCTCCATCAATGTTGCTCTTCATGCAAAGTGGTTCCTCAGTGAGATGTGAGCCAGTGCCAACAAGTCTTTAATCCCAACACTCCGGAGGCAGAGGCAGGTGGATATCTGTGAGTTCAAGGCCAGCCTGGTCTATAGAGTTCTAGGATAGCCAGAGATACACAGAAAAACCTTGTCTAGAAAGAGAATACCAAAAAAAAAAATGCTCTAAGGCATATGATATAAATTAGAATGACAATATATTCTTCCTTTGAAGTTTAATGAGTCAAAATCTTGAATTAGAAGGTAAATATTAGCAGAGTAGATTTTAAAAACAAATAAAACAGTTCTATATGCTTTCAAGAAACTCGTTGAATTTCCACAGATTCAAATAAGTTAAAACTGGTGTGGTGGTTCATATATCTTAAATGTGAAATACATAAAAACAGTGTCTGGGGCTTGAGTGATGTCTCATTTTGTTTAAAAGCACTTGCTGCTCTTGCAAAGGATCTGGGTTTGGTTCCCAGCACCTGTATGGCAGCACATAACCATCTGTAACTCCAGTACCGGGTCATTTGACACCCTGTTCTGACCTCCACGAGCATCAGACAAAGTCAAAAGCATCAAACACATGTGGTACACAGACACATACAGGCAAATGCTCATACACATAAAATAAAATATATAAATTGGGGTTGGGGGAAGAAAGAAAGAAAGTCAGAACACTGCATTCTAAGATGACTTCGTTCACGATTCCTATTCTTCATCTAAATGATCATACATCATAGTTCTGAATGCTCTGGTAACACAGAGAATAAAACTGTTTTGCTCTGGTAACACTGAAAAAATAAAACTGTTTTTGTTGTGCCCAGAGAGTTTTTGAAGGAAGACATTCACTTTTATCTTTAAAAGAGAGAGAGAGAGAATGTATGTGCCCAAGAAAGCTAGAACATCAGATCCCCTTGAACTGGAGGTACAGGCATCTGTGAGCTGCCCTTGATAGAAGGTGTTGGAATTTGAAATTAGGTCTCTGCAAGAGCAGTACACTCTCTTGACTTCTGCGCCATCTCTCCCATCTCATTTTTTTATTGTGATTAAGTATAGCATGAAAATTGCCATGGTAATCACTAAAGTACAGTTCAGTGTCATTGTATCTATTCATTGAGCAGCTACTATCACTATTTCCTTGCAGAACTTTCTCATCACCTAAAATAAAAGTCCGTTAAGCAGTCATTTCCCGGGGGCTGGAGAGATGGTTCAGAGGTTAAGAGCATTGACTGTTCTTCCAAAGGTCCTGAGTTCAATTCCCAGCAACCACATGGTGGCTCACAACCATCTGTAATGGGGTCTGGTGCCCTCTTCTGGCGTGCAGGCACACATACAGACAGAATATTGTATATATAATAAATAAATATTTAAAAAAAAAAGCAGTCATTTCTCATTCTCTTCCCTGAGGCTCCTGGACAACCACTGATCTGATGCTTTCTAGATCTGGGTTTATCTAATACGTGTATTTCATATAAGTGGAATTATATGATATATAGCCTTTCATCTGTGACTTCTCACATAGCGCACTTTCCAGGTTTATTTGTTTGATAGTGTGGATTAGTACTTCATTCTTTTTGGGGGTTTTGAGCCAAGGTTTTTCTGTGTAACAGTCCTGGCTGTCTTGGGACTTTGCTTTGTAGACCAGGCTGGCCTTGAACTCAGAGATCAACCTGCCTCTGCCTGCTGACTGAATACTAGGATTAAAGACCACTACACCTAGCTCTTAACTGACATTCTTGAGACAGATTAAGTCAGTCTTAAACCTTCATTGAAACAGTGTATTTTATAAATCTTTTGTCTTGAAAGTTACCCAATCCCCGTTTTATCTTTTATGAAATAAATATTGACATTTTTCATGTATAATTGTAGGGTTATGTGAGATATTGAATAAAAGATTCAGCACTTGACAGTGGCATAGTGAATGATGGGTATTTTTAGCTGTGCCCATTGTCCTTTTCAATTTCTGTGGTTGTGACCAAGTAATCTCCTTGTGTATTACTAATTACCTTAAGTAAGAAAGCATAGTTTATTTTGATGTGTGTATTGTATGCTTACTATACTTCAGAGTAATTTTAACTTAATAGGGTTTCTTTTATGTAGGGAGTCGTCGGATGGTTGATGTCATGGATGTGAACACACAGAAGGGCATTGAAATGACCATGGCTCAATGGACACGATACTATGAGACCCCAGAGGAGGAGCGAGAGAAGCTCTATAATGTCATTAGCCTAGAGTTTAGCCACACCAGGCTTGAGAACATGGTACAGCGACCTTCCACGGTTAGTTATTATCTATTGTGTGATGTTTTCTCTTTCAGGTTTTTGAGGGGCCCACCAACCAGCTCCCAGATAAATCACATACAGAGGCTTATTCTTAATAATGAGTGCCTGGCCTTAGCTTGGCTTGTTTCTTGTCAACTTTTCTTAACTTAAATTTTCCTGACTACCTTTGCCTGTGGACTTTTATCTTTTTTTTTTTTTTTTTTTTTTTTTTTTTTTGTTTTTTTTTCTTTCTTTCCTTCTTAGTCTGTGACTGGCTGGGTGACTAGGTGGCTGGCCCCTGATGTCCTCTCCTCCTTGTTCTCTTGCTCCTGTTCTCCCTCCTCTCAGATTTCTCCTCCTATTTATACTCTTTGCCTGTTTTACCCTCCATCCTTCCTCCTGCCTCACTATTGTCTATTCATCTCTTTATTAGGACCATCCGGTGTTTTAGACAGGCACAATAACAGCTTCACAGAGTTAAGTAAAGCATAAACCAAAGGCACACACCTGAAAATATTCCCCAACAATTATCATTTTCCCACATTCTCATTTTCACCAGAAGGTCTTGATAGTGGGAGAATTTTTATAACTTTGCACATGCCAAGATTAAGCTAAATGTGGAAAAGAGTATTGGATAATAGTAACTTTCATTTTTAAAAGACTTCATTTTCCAAAATCAATTTTTATTAGAATCATTCTTATTTATATCCCCAAGAAATTAATTTGGGAACTTGTCCTTTCCGTGATAAGAAGAATCTTAAAATGTTACTGGAAAATCTGCTTAAGGAATTTCTGTCTTGTGTTTGCTAAGAAACTTAAGGAAATTATTGGGTTGGGGGTAGGGGTTGTGCCATGTGTGGTGGCATAAGCCTTCAGTCATAGCGCACAAGAAACAGAGGCAGGTGAATCTCTGTGGGTTTGAGTCCAGTCTGGTCTGCATTGGAAATTCTAGGATAGCATGTGCTGCATAATATAGAATCTGTCTCCATAAATAAAAAGAGCAACTAAGGGAAAACTGGTTTAGAGCAAGGTAAATTTTGTATCCCCAAACTATCCACTTCTCCAGGTAAGTAACAAGTGTTCAAGTAGTAAACTGATAGTGATACATGAGTTGCTTTCATTTGTTTTTGATATTCTACTTTCCTGAAGTTAATTTTTAAAGGTTTATTTATTATGTATATAGTCTTCTGCCTGCATATATGCCTGTACACAGAGGGCACCAGATCTCATTACAGATGGTTGTGAACCACCATGTGGTTGTTGGGAATTGAACTCAGGACTTCTGGAAGAGCAGCCAGTGTTCCTAACCACTGAGCCATCTCTCTAGCCCCTGAAGTTAATTTTTATTTTACCTATCTTTTGGTAAAATAGTGGCTATCTATTCACTATTGGGAAAACTGTACAGGAAGTGGAATTGACTTCACTTTTAGAATGTAACTATATGTAGGCCTTTGACTAAAAAAACAAAAATAGCTGGGCAGAGGGATGCAAACTTGTAGTCCAATCCCAGCATGAGCTGGAGGCAGGAGGATCAGGGGTTCAAGGTCATCTTCAGCTGGATGAGACCCCTTCTCAAAGACAAAAATTGTTACAGAATATTTGATCACACTGTGAATCCCAATATTGTGTTATTTACTGGAAAAACCTGTCTCTAGTTGTGTGGTTCTGCCCTAGTACACTGTACCTTTAATCTAAGAGTTTTCTGCTTTGAATATTGTAAATAGTATTAAATAAAGTCAACCACAGGTCAAGAGACAGAGCAAGGAACCAGTTGACAGGAAATAAACAAGAATTATTAAGAAAAAAAATAGAGAGTAAGGAGTCAGGGAGAGAGAGATAGACGGGGAGAAGGGAGGAATATCCAGTTTGAGGGGGCTTGTTGAAGACAGGCTTCTTGGATGTCAGCTGTGTGCTCTCTCTGCCTCTGAGTTAGCAGGCTTTCACCCCAGCATCTGGTTCCCAGGTCTTTATTGGTAAGATCAAACAATTGAGATTTTGTTAAAAACATGTAATGTCTTTATATAGATACATACTTTCTAATAATTTGCAGTATTATCACTGTAGTTTTATTGGTGCTAGGGTCTATGTAGCCCTATGACAGTTCTTTATGTAGTCCTGGCTGTCCTGGTTGGGTTTGAAAGAAGATTGACAAAGAAAACTTCTTTGATGAATAGGCTATCCGCAGTGGAATCAACCTCTTACCATTCACTCATTTATTTTTGAGGTTGGGTCCCACTGTGTAGCTTGGCTTAACACCTGCCTTTGCCCCAAGTGCTCAGATTAATGGTGTGTTCTACTAATCATTTTTAATAAAGCATTCAGTAAAAAGGAAGCATGCAACCAAAGCATGGTGGTCCATGCCTGTAATCCTAGCATTTAGGTGGAGACAGGAGGGTTGCCTGGGCTACAGAGTAAGCTTCTATCTCAAAAACAATAGAAACAATGTTGAGAATTATAGTAGCATTGCTTATAAATGTATTTCTTTAATACTTCTAGAATCGTGATTTAAAGATTATGGTTTTAAATATAAAACTTGATTGTTAGAATTAGAAACATTTTTTGTTGTTTTGGTGGGGTTTTTGGGGGGGGGTTGTTGTTTTGTTTGTTTGTTTTTTGTTTTGAGACAGGGTGTATCTGTAGCTTTGGAGCCTGTCCTGGAATTAGCTCTTGTAGACCAGGCTGGCCTTCAACTCACAGAGATCCTCCTTCCTCTGCCTCCTGCATGTGCCACCGCTGCCCGGCTAGAATTAGAAACCTTTATACACAAAGCCTACTTTGTAGTATCCTGGGTGTTTTGTCCCTAGTTTTAATTTTTTTATTTTGTCTTTCAGTTTTTTTCAAGACGAGATTTCTTTTCTTTTTTTTTAATTTTATTTTTAAAACAATCTTATTTTACATACCAATTTCAGTTCCCTCTCACTCCTGTCCTCACACTCTCCCCCATTCCCACCCACATCCACTCAGAAAGGGTGAGGCCTCTAATGAGGAGTCAACAAAGTCTGTCACATCACTTGAGGCAGGACCAAGGCCTTACCCCCTTTATCTAGGCTGAGCAAGGTATCCCTCCATAGGGAATGGGCTCCAAAGAGCCAGTTCATGCACTAGGGATAAATATTGGTTCCACTGCTAGTGGCCCCACAAACTGCCCAAGCCACACAACTGTCAGCCACATTCAGAGGACTTGGTTTGGTCTTAAGCAGGTTCTCTAGCTGTCAGTCCCACTAACTCAGGTCAGCTGTTTCTATGGGTTTGCCCATCATGGTCTTGGCAAACCCTTTGCTTGTAATAACACTCCTCCCTGTCTGTAACTGGACTCTAGGAGTTTGGCCCAGTGTTTAGCTATGGATCTTTGTGTCTACTTCCATCAGTTACTGGATGAAGTTCTATGATAACAAGTAAGGTTATCATCAATCTGATTACATGGGAAAGGCATTTTCGGTACCCTTCCCACTATTGCTTAGAATCTTTTTTTTTTTTTTTTTTGGGGAAAGCTCGTGATTTTATTGTCTTCATAACAAGATAAGCTTAGAACTGGATCACTTGGCCCTATCTCTTCTTATCACCTCCCAGTTTAAAATGCTTGCATCTCTTAATAGCTAGCATCCTCTTAGATCTGCCGTTGGGCTCAACACATTCCAGTCTCAGCACAATCTTTTTTGTAGTTTTAGCCTTTTTGCGGAAAATAGGCTTAGTCTGCCCACCATAGCCACTCTGTTTCCTGTCAGAACGCCGCTTTCCCTGGGCATACAGAGAATCTTTGACCTTCTTGTACTGGGTCACTTTGTGGGGTTGGTGTTTGCCACATTTCTTGCAGAATGTCTGGCGGGCCTTAGGAACTGTCACCATGTTGGCGGGTGCGATATCGACATAGAAAGAAAAAAAGTATTGCTTAGATTCTTAGCTGGGTTTATCCTGTGGATTCCTGGGGATTTTACCCAGTGCCTGGTTTCTTGCTAACCCCATAATGACTTACTCTTTCAAGATACCTCTTTCCATGCTTTCCCTCTCTGTCCTCACAAAGCTCAATCTTCCCAATCCCTCATGTTCTCCTCCCTGTTCCCCTTCTCCCCTCCCCTGTCCCCTTCTTCCCTTCCCACTCCCTTACCACCCTCTCCTGCCACGTTACTAAAGAGATCTTGTTTACTTCCCCTTCCTGAAGGGATGGATGCATGTATGAGACAGGATTTCTTTATGTAGCCCTGGCTATCCTGGAACTTGACCTGTAGACCACCAGGCTTGGCCTCGAACTCCCAGAAACGTGCCTGCCTCTGCCTCGCAAGCACTGGGATTAAAGGTGTGTGCTAACATGCCTAACTATTTCAAAGATTTTAATATTTGTCTACAGTTAATCATCACAGTCTCGCTTTGATATCAAAACTTAGTTAAATTAGGAGCTTATTGCTAACTTGCTAACCCAATAGTTTCTATATCACATACTGAATTTTTTTCTTTTTTTATATTCTATTATTATTATTAGTTTTTTTTGTTGTTGTTGTTTGTTTTTTGAAACGGGGTTTCTCTGTGTAGCCCTGGCTGTCCTGGAATACGCTCTGTAGACCAGGCTGGCCTTGAGCTCAGAGATCTACTTGCTTCTACCTTTCCAGATGCTGGGATTAAAAACATGTTCCACCACTGCCTAGTGATACAACCAACCAACCAACCCTCACCCCCGCCCAAGGCCAGTCAAATCTTCAGAGTGAGTTCCAGGATTTTTAAGGCCAGTCACATCTACAAATTGAGTTTTAGGAATGCCAAGAACAAAACAAAAAACATTTATATGAGTGTGTGCACGTGCACATCATGGTACACATATAAGGGACTTGGTTGTCTCTTTCCACTGTGTGAGACCCAGGGTCAAACTTGATGCTGTTCTGCTGGGTGGTATGTGCCTTTATTTCTACACCAGCTTCTCCAGCCCAGATCTTTTTATATTTTAGCTACTGTAACAGTGAGTGTACAGTTACCATCAAAGACTACCCTTTAAAAAGTTTATAATTCACAGTTTCAACCTGCTATACCAGTATTGTCAGAAGTTATAATCTATTGTTTTAAATCCATTTTGCCCAATGCTTGCTTTACAGTCACAGTAATGGAACCATTAGTCTTTGTTCTCTTCTTTATGTATTTCCAGAACATTTGTCTTTTGTCTCTAAGGGTCACAGATGTTTAAATATTCTTTTGTGCTCTGTATATTTAAAGGAGTTTTTTTTTTTTTCCTTGACTTTAACATTCTCTGTAACCCCACCTCTTAAATGTTTCTTCCTTTTTAAAGGTGGATTTCATTGACTGGGTAGATAACATGTGGCCAAGGCACTTGAAAGAAAGTCAGACTGAATCAACAAATGCTATTTTAGAGATGCAGTACCCTAAGGTGCAAAAGTAAGTTATTCACTCTTGTGTACTTTCTTAAAGTGTTGATAGCAAGGAATATAGTCTGTCCCTTTCAAGCTTTGCTCTGTGCTAAATCATCAAATCAGTAGATTATTTAAACAGTGGACTTTATAGTATCAAGAGTATGTGAGAAATTACATAGCACATGATCTCATGAATAATGGGAAAAGCTGTTATGTCCTAGAAATGTGACTTTGAACTGCATTTCTTTAACAGAATATTATGGCTCATGCCTTGAGGCAGAGTCAGCTAGATCTCCTGAGTTTCAAGGCCAACCTAGTCTAAGTAGCAAGTTCTAGGACAGCCAAGAAGCATAAAGACCTTAAAACAAAAATGAAAAGAAAGAAAACCTACTAGTAGTTTATTGGATGCAAAGTAGAATTCATTAGGAAGGAGAATGTCATTTTGGTGACTGGTTTCTCTTTATCAGGATACTAATTTTGCTCCTTCTCTTTGGGGGCAGGTACTGTCTAATGAGTGTTCGAGGCTGCTATACTGACTTCCATGTGGACTTTGGTGGTACTTCTGTTTGGTATCACATCCACCAAGGTGGAAAGGTATGGTCATAGTTGGGATTGGAATAAGAAACAGATTATATGACTTGCATGCTTAATATATATAATCTGGGAATCAGTCTATTAGGAAACATTCCCATTCATATCGGAAGAGAATTATAGATACAGTTGCCTTTGGTGGCTAGTCCATTGGAGTTTTAGTATTTATGTAGGCCAGTGTCATTCCACCAATATTTGCCCAGTACTTGGAGAAATCTCAGTAGTACTATTTCTAGACTGCAGAGCAGAATTCCCCAGGTGAAATTAAAAAGGTAATTCTTGGAGGACAATATCATTTTTTTACCTAGAAGAAAAGTAGTGTAGAGAAAGGGAACATAAATTTTAGATATATTGGCAAAAAAAAAATCCAGTAAGTTAGGATTCAGCCAGCTCTCCCTGTCTAATGATATTGGTCTGAAATGTGACCAAAGGAAATATTAAGTCTTTTATTCCAATAATAATAAAATATATCTTTTCACAAGTTTTTCTAAATGTTAATTTCAGAATTGAAATCTAGAGTTAATAACTGAGGTTTGTAGTGTTAGCCTTTCTTCCAGTTGGAGTGACTTCATTCATTTATTAGCAGAACTGGAATTTAAAAAAGTATACAAGAATTTAACCTAGGACATCTGGGTCTATATCCAAAATCCTTTTGTTTATTTACATTTGTGTAGATGGGTCTTAAGTTTTGTTCTGTTGATTTTAATTACTATATTGGGACAGGGCAGTGTCGGGTCGGTCTCTTAGAGTTATTAATTACACCTAAAGAATGGGGCTGCTTAAGCCTATAGTCAGAGTTTTTAAGAAACTACCGAGGTAATAAGCCCATTTTTCCTTTTCTCTTGGTATTGTAGATAGGTTCTGCATTCTTACTTCTATAGCCATAATCCCAGGAAATCCAGATGGTGTCAGACCAGATCTGTTTGGTTAGGTCCTGAGTTACCCAGATAGTTGAGTCTATAGGCTGGGAGAATTGTCTGTCTTCTACCTTCCAGTCTTCTTTGTCTCTGTTTATCATTTGAGGAAGACGACTGGATCATGTCAATGGCTGTTAACAGACTGAAGTTTTTTAACTCACAGGTCTTCTGGCTCATCCCCCCTACAGCCCACAACCTGGAGCTGTACGAGAATTGGCTGCTGTCAGGGAAACAGGGAGACATCTTTCTGGGTGACCGGGTGTCAGATTGCCAACGAATTGAGCTCAAGCAGGGCTATACCTTCGTCATTCCCTCAGGTAAGCAAAGTGGGGAAAGTATGTTGCTTTCTAGCACTTAGCCCCTTTGTACAGTCAGCAGCAAACAATAGAGTGCTTGTCTGTTTTTATGGAATACATGGAGAGAACGTTGTTTTTCGTTTTTTGTGTGTTTTTTTGGTTTTTAGAGACAGGGTTTCTCTGTAGTTTTGGAGCCTGTCCTAGAACTCAATTTGAAGACCAGGCTGGCCTTGAACTCACAGAGATCGCCTGCCTCTGCCTTCCAGGTGCTAGAATTAAAGAAGGGTGCCACCACTGCCTGGCAGAGAGAATGTATTTTAAAACAAATAAATAAATAAAATAAAAGCAGTGCTTAAAGCCAGTGGTGGCTTCCCAAAAGATATACATGTTTAGATTACATATTAAGCCCAGTAATTCAGAATCTTTACACATGGAGTGCCCTCTCTAGTGAAGAGCCACCTTTCCCTACCTGAGTGGGATATTTTAATTGTATTACTTATTCTAAAATAAATGCATATAAAGAGTACAAATTTTGGGGTCCCTGATCTGTTTGAGACTCAGTACTACTTTGGCAAATACTTAAGTTTGGTTTTTTGTTGAAAGGAATACATGAGATTATTAATAAACTATCTTACACATAGCTGATGCATAGTTGGTGGTTTATAAATGGAAGCAGCATTTATTAAAAGTTTCTTGCACTGGGGAAATAACTTAATGGTAGAGTACTTAACTTGCATAATACCCTGTGTTATATCTCTAGGAATTAAAAAAAAAAAAAATACCTCTTATGCTGAGTATTGGATCACACCCCTGTAGTCCTAGCTATTTGTGTGTTTGTGACTAGCAAGAGCAGCATTTAAGACCTTATCTTTAAAATAAGTGAAACCTGTTTCTTAGATACATATTCTCATTTAATACTCACCGCCATGTGAAGTAAAATATGTTCTAGTTTTAAATAGAATATTGATGCTTTGAGAGATAAGTAAATTGACCAATTATTAAAGAAGCCTGGGTTATGCATCAAGGTCTTGTTTCCAAAAAAAGAGAGAAGAATATAAACCAGAAACCATATTATAGTATGTGCATTCAGTCCTGCCTCCATTTTCTATCTTCCAGGTTGGATTCATGCTGTGTATACTCCTACAGACACATTAGTGTTTGGAGGCAATTTTTTACATAGCTTCAATATCCCCATGCAATTAAAAATATACAGCATTGAAGATCGGACACGGGTGAGTAATTTGATCGTTATTAATAGTTAATCATATTAACAATTATATGTGACAGATGTTTGGTGAGCATGGTAACACATGTCTTTTTTTTGCCCTGTGTATTTTGGAGCCTGTCTTGGCACTTGCTCTGTAGACCAGACTGACCTCACACTCACAGAGATCCACCTGCCTATACCTCCCAAGTGCTAGGATTAAAGGCATGTGCCACCAATGCCCGACTGCCTCTAATCTTTGTAGCACTCAGGGACAGGAAGATTGTGAATTTGAGGTCAGCTTGGACTGTGTAGCAAGACTGTGTATCAAAGAAAAAGACAAATCAAAAGAGATTCATGGGGTGAGATGGCTTACCAGGTAAAGATACTCAATACTAAGCTTGATAACAAACCCAGAACACATACAATACAAAGCTAGAACCAACAACTGCATGTTACCTTCTAACCTTCATCTGCATATACTGCCATCCTCTTTCCCCCAATACAGTAAATGAACCAGAAAGGGATTCATGGATAATTTGTCAATTTTTTAGATTTTCTTTGCATTAAAAAGAAGTTTTCACATACTTTGAGGATATATCAGAAGATTTTACTGGTCTTTTGTTTTTGTAGGACTTTTAACTCTAAAGTTCTTCATATGGATATTTGTCCTAATCTTTTGAGCCATGTTTTTCATTTTTATGCTCATGAATAATTTATGGAATGGGATGATCGATTCAAATTTTACAACTTTGAGTTTTTCTTTTTGGTTTTTCAAGACGGGGTTTCTCTGTGTAGCTTTGAAGCCTGTTCTGGCCTCAGACTCAGAGATCTGCATGCCTCTGCCTCTCGAGTGCTGGAACTAAAGGCGTGTGCCGCCACCACTCAATCTGACTTTACTTTTATTACCAGCTCTCCCCTCTTTCCCTTTCCCATTTTAACACCCACTGCCCCCAGACAGGGAGGGTTTCTCTGTGTAACAGCCCTAGCTTTCCTGGAACTAGCTCTGTAAACCACGCCTGGCTTTAATTTTATTTTTTTAGATAGGGTCTCACTATCCAGCTCTGGCTGTTCTGAAACTCAGTATGTAGACCAGGCTGGCCTCAAATTCACAAAGATTATCTGCCACTGCCTCCTGGGTACTGGGATTAAACAGCAGATACATTTAGAATGGTACCTGACACTTACCTTCCTTGTTCATTGATTGATAGTAATTTTAATTCATCTTTTCTTGACAACGGTATACCTAAGGATATACCATTATATTATAATATACCATTATATTTCCGAAATAATTTTTGAAATGCTCTGAATGTATAAAAGATGAATGCTACCAAAATAGTGACCAATAAAACCACACAAATTATTAATCTGATAGGTGGGTATACAACAAATCACAAGACAGGAAAGCTGAGGGTGGATGTTGGACAGAGGCTCAATCTTGCCTTCTAAACAATACAGAGCTTGAGAATAAGTTTAAAATTATACTTTTATGCATATAATGTCTTACTATAAATGTATAACTTCTGCCTAGCTTTCATTAGATTCTTTGTCCTACGCGCTTCAGATTCAGGAAAACAAAAAACTGGGGCCAAACAAAAATGCTTGGAATACCTTTATACTCTAAATCAGGGTGTTTTGTTTTGTGTATGTGTGCGCATGTGCGTATGTTAGTTATGAGACAGGGTCTTTCTGTGTAGCCTTGGCTATCCTGGAACTCTCTG